ATAGGTCTAATTTATTATTAGTATTATTTAAAATATTTTTATTGATTTCAGAGAGGAAGGAAGAGGGATAGAGAGATAGAAACATCAATGATGAGACAGAATCATTAATTGACTGCCTCCTGCACGCCCCCTACTTGGGGGGGGGGGGAATAGAGCCTGCAACCCAGGCATGTGCCCTTGGCCAGAATCAAACCTGGGACCCTTTAGTCCACAGGCTGACACTCTATCCACTGAGCCAAACCAGCTAGGGCTCTGTCCAATTTTTAATCATCATTTTACTTATGAAGAAACAAGCACACAGTAGCTAACTGTTGCCCATGGTCACACAGTTAATGAGTGTCAGAGTGGTATGATAAACTTTGGCTGCAGAGGACATGCAATGGGACCTTTGGGGAAATGAGTCCCATGACTGGGAGAACTAGGCAGTGCTTAACAGATCTCCTCCAAGTATCCAACTTTTCAGTTTGTGTAAAATGAAAGTACACCCAGCATTATCAGCTCTTGATAAAAGCGAAACACACTAAGTCCATGGTTAGGAGGGGAGAAGACATTTGGTTGTTTTTGTTAATAGGTGTATAAAACACAAAGATGTATACAGCATTTAGGAGGGGTTTTGAGGTACTTGAATCAATAGACATTTGGCAGCTGTTAATCCATACTTAAACCCAAACTTTGGAAGAATTGAAGTAAGGACCTCAGGGTCAAAATCAATAGGGCTTTCTTCACTCGAACTTCTATGTCTTTAATTAAACCACAAAATTTAGGTCTGGAATGATTTAGGTGTTGCAGTTATTTTGAAAATTCAGGTGAACTATCAATCTCACTTTTTAATCTATCCAATTTTTTAAAGTAAATGAATCAGGGTCACCCAGATTAATCTGGGATGAGAACAGAAGTGGTCAGAAAAACTGTAAGCTTAGATGAAACTCAAGTAAAAGTAGAGATTCATGATATCTTCTTTTCCAAATAATGCAGAAGAGAGAAAATAACTTGTTAGGTTCATAAATACACAAGAGAAAAGTCATTAATTCACATCATTGCCATTATATCATTTCTCATACGTTTGTTTGAATCTGCCAACGAGTATATAATTCACTTAATACTTGTTTTATAGATCTTGTTTGAAGATTCTAGATAACACAAAAATACAGTCTGAGTGCATGGTCTATGACCATTGGATTTACTAACACATTTTGACCTCATTCTAAAGTGCTTATCCCTATGCTTTTCTCCCACTTTCTTTTGCACACATATTATTTGTAGAAAGTAGTAATAAAATTGACAATTACAGAACAGGTTGCTTCCAACAACATTTAGAAATAGATAATTTGATTACTATTTTCCTTTTAGTCAAAAAGCTAATGGAAACAAGTTTGCTTTTATGCTTTGGGCTATTTCATTCATTTCTGAAATTCCCAAATTTATTGGGTAGTCATTTTTTGAAAGGAAAATGGACTAAAATCCTGGTCTTATGTTCCAAGTTTTCTTCTCCAACACTTGTTTCTTTTGAATATCGTAAATGAATGTATTGTTCAAATTTAGAGGGGAAAAAAGAGACGTTCTAATATCTGAAATTAGAAAGCAGGTATTATGAAAAATAGAAAAATCTCAACAGGGGGAGAGCCTAATGTTGATCCTAAAGTAGAAAGCAGTATGCTAGTTTTTGGGCTTTTGAGGAATCTGGACATGATTTATGTAGTACAGTGAATCAGCAGTGTCATACCAAGCAAAGGGAAGGTGGTGGGGACCCTTTATCACTAATTGGAGCTTGGTTTTCAAATGAATTTTAGATTATTTACAATTACATATGAAACTATGTGTCTCCATAGCCACCATTAAATTGCTAAGGAATCGGAATGGCAAAGTCTCTTTGGAAATGTGCAATGCAAATAAACAGTCACCCTTTGGAGTGCACACATAATGGTGGTATGCATTGTGGGCACTGGCCAACAACAGTAGACAAGATCACTAATAAGAATCTTGCAAAAGCCTTTTATAAAAGAGAAGGAAAAAAATAAAAGAGAATCACAAAGAGATGGCATCTCCTCCCTTTCTCCCTAACTCCTTATCTTCAATCTCTTACTACTTAAATGCACTCCTCATGTGTACATTTTAGAACCACCAACTTTATATCAGTTTTAGAAGCACCATATTGCATAAAGGAATACTTTCATCTGTTCATTATAGAAAGCAACATACAAGGTTGTGGCTTTGATATTCTTATTGCTAGGATAGTAATACTATAAATAGCAATACAATATTTCCATTTTCCATAGAATTTTTCCACTCTAATTTTACCATACCATTGTGTAGATGAAGTCACTGTGGAAAATATCTCAATGAGCCATCATGCTTTGACTCGAGGGAAAAAAATATATATGGTTTCCTGTGTTATCTTAACATTGACCTTACCTTAGGTGATTGTTTATTATATTACGGTAGGAAAAATAGACATTCTTATGCTTTTTTATAATTGCTTTAGTATTTCAATAAGGATGTGTTTCTCTTCTAGGGCCGGTGCATAAACTTCTCCCGAGTTTCGTCTCAGTAAAAAGAAAGAAAGACCAAGAAGGTATGAAGATGGTACATCTTCACACTGCTGATTTCCAACCCAATGAAAAACCATAAGTGCATCTTAGAAGTTTTTGGAAGAGCAGCTTTATTCCTCTAGTCGGGAAATGTTTTCTCTGCCTTCTGCTTTGCTTGCACCAGACATTTTCAAACACTTGTTCTGCCATCTACCTGGGAGTTGATGAAACACAATAGTAACTCATGATTCATGGCACTGAAAATAAAGAGGACCATTAATCTACATGCCATGATTTATACAAAAAAAGTTTGCATGAATGTGTAGAAAAGGAAAACAATAAAAAACAACAGCATGAAGATGATATCAAAACGGAGACCACAAAACAACTGGCCGTGATGGATCTTTAATGAAGAGAGGAGTGTTGAACATGGTAACATGGCTCCCGTGTTTCCACATGGCAAGATTGTGTATCCACAGGCAGAGTATGAGATTTCCCGCCAGACTCAGCAAATAAAGGAGTCTATTGCCTTATAGCTCTGTCAGATCACAAAATCCTTCCACGTTCCCTACCACAATGTGCCTATGGGAAGCTTCTGCCTGGAAAATCTTGTCATTCTATCACTGAAAAGTGCACACGCATGACAAAATGTAGACAGTATGCCCCCAGGTATTGGTAGCAAGCAAGATTTTGCCCTTTAGTTTTTCAAGACACCTTTCTTTCATTATGCACTCGGGAAAGAAGACAATTAATAGAGCATTATTACACAGGAAGACAGCCTCTACCCAGAGGTCTTGAGTGGAGTGTGAGGGACTCATGATTTGAGAACTTGTCCCTGTGATTGGTCGACTTACCCCTCTTTCTCTGTTTAGGGTTTAGTAGTGCATAAAGCATCAATATCTGTAAACATACCAAGCAGTTTTGTTTGCTTTTAATTTAATGGAAGCAGTAACCACAAAGCTTCCGCTCAGGGTTTTTTCTTTCTTCAAGTCTCCAAGGGCTCCTCAGCGTCACAAGCCAGCAACTCTCTTTGCATGAAAATTTCAAAGTTTAATTAATATAATTAAAGGCAACAGCAAGCAGCAGCCTGTGAAGATTTTGCTCATCTTTTTTATGCCTTTTGACATTGAATGACCTATTACTGTATGCGCATTACTTGGATTTCGAGGGGCACTTTATCTTGGATGTGATTCAGTAGAGAAGAAAAGACCTCCACTCATCAATTTGAAAATTAAATGTTCAGGAGGATCAGCCACCACAAAACATCGAAAATGTATATATTAGAATTTTTTTAGAAAAACCACCATCGTGTCATGTCGACGATGCCAAATTATGTTAGCGTGAGCGGAAACACGGTGGGGGAGGAAGAAGGCAGCAGCTGAAGAGAAAAGCTCAAATGATCTAGTCACTTTCGATACTGAATTTCAGATGCGAAATGGATATTCGACGCGAAACCTGACAAAGTGCGCCAGCTTTGATGTGAACTGGTATAGACAATGACCAGTGGCTGGGTCAGTGGGATGTCTCTCTGTGAGCACAAAGGCTTATCAAATGACACTAAAAATAAGTTCAACAACCATCACGTTGGAAGGGAGAAGGCGAACATTTCATGTTTGGCGGGCATGTGAGTGCACAAGATGGAAAGAGCGATTTGGAGCAACCCAGTTTAATTACCCCCATTGTGCTCTTCATGGAAATTTCAAAGGATGGGAGTGATTCTGTGGGTTGGTGTCCAGATTTGTGGCGCTGCTCCAAGAAGCCTGACTCACACGCGCAACTATATATGTACATGTATATCTTCTAGCTTGAATCTTTTGCTCAAGTTTATTTATGTCACTGGCTGGCTGGATCCAATGTCATGTGTCTACATATTCATAAATAAAATTTTACCTGCGCCTCTGCTACCACTTTCTTTAAGCCTACATAAACTCAAGCCTTGTTTGGTTGAATATATCATTGTCCTGGTTAGTTTCGGGGACAGAATTATATTGCGCCCCCAAATGTCCCCTGTGTTCACAAGTGATACTATTGGCAGTAATTATCCATGTGTGCAAGTGTGACTTGGAAGCCCATTGAGTTCTTGTAGACCTTTCTTCTACATTTGCATCTGGGACAGGGCCTATCCCTATTTTCTTTAAATTGGCACTTCCTTTCTGATCAGTGCACATTCCTAAATGGCATTTATGAGTATCAAGGATGCCTAGAAGCTAAAGCTTTTGCTTTGATAGTGACTTTGAATTTATCTAGTATTGTATGGCATTTGTATGACACTTGTATGTTGCTACATGAGCACTGTAAGTAGACCTCTGCCTTTAAATGGCAAAGTAGCTTTCGGTGGATTGCCATGCATATGAATTTGCAGTTCTAATACCACTATGAAGAATTCTCCGTGATGACAGAGAGGCATTGGTCTACATGTACTCTAAAAAAGTACCGTTCATAATGTTTAAAGACAGATGAATTTCATTGCACTGAAAGATATGAGTCAGCTTTATGTTACTACTTTCTCTGATCAGGCTAAGTAGCAAATGAGAGGACTTTTCTTTAATGAGTACTGTTTTCTCACTACATTGAAAACCTCTTGACCAGTGGTTCTCAACCTTGGCTGCACATTAGAATCTCCTGGGAATCTTTTTAAAATCCTGATTTCTGGGCCTCATCCAGGTGATTCTAATGTGCAGCCAAGGTTGAGAACCACTGCTCTAGACCTTTCAACCAGGAAAATAAAGGGGTCATAGAAAATCATTTCCATAAGTTTAATAACATTTTATATTTTATGTAGAGAAAAAGTTCCTGTTTAATTTTTTTGGACTTAAGTTCAGTCAAGATTTCTGTGAATAAATGAGTAAGCCTTTAGCCATAATCCATTTGTGTTGCATAAGGTTTCAAAAACAATTAAGTGGGAAATGACTCCTAACTTATGTGTCTACTCTGCCTGGAAAGAAAGTTTTGAAGGCATCTATATATATTTCATAACAATGTCTGTTCTTTATGGATTTGATCCATAAATATTTATCTATCTGAAAACTTTGATACTTGGAATGTTTTCCTTAAAGCATTTGGTGCTCCAAGAAAAAACATTTGGTGCTAAGAGTTGCATCACTGATGCCTTTCCCCAAGTTACTTCTATTTTAACATTTTATATTTCCTTCCCAATGAGATGCAGAGTAACATGTGAGACCCTCCATCAGCTGGAAGCAGCATCTGTCACTATGGATAATTACTACTTTGACAAAAATATATAAGGTTTAAACCTCCTGTATTTCAGATTGTTAGAGAAGAAATGATTTGCTTATATTTCCCTTGAACTTTATTCTAACCACTTTAAATAATAAATTATTCAATATTTGTTTTTCAAATCTATACTGGGTATAAGATCTGGTGTCTCTGTGAACTTAATAACTTTATCTAAATATCAATGGCCATTGTTTACTGCTCAGAGGCAACGTATTGGTTTATTTTAAAAATTAAAACACAATATTATGGCCAACAAGGTATCTAAAATATTGTTGATTGATCAGCTTACATATATTATTTAGTTTTTAAAAAGACAAACTATAACTAGATCACATTTATAAGTATTGTAAAGCAAGTATTTTTTCATCACCAAGCCTTGGGTTAACTTCTGCTAGATTTTGTACAGCCTCACATTGTTAGGAAATTTATTAGTGTTTTATTGCTACTGGTAATTGTTGGTGGGTGTTAAGTGCACAGGAGAGAAATGCATACATTCTTTATTGTAATGTGAATGGAAATGTATAATCTAGAACCATAGAACAACTCGGTACATCTGCTGTATGTTTAAGGAAAGAAACTTGCAGGTGAGATTGGAGAATGTTGTCTATTTGCTGGTAATAAAGTGAGCATAACCATGTATTCTAGCCTCGGAGTTAGATTCATATTTCTCTTAGTGAATGTTTATGGCATGTGTCTGAGAATACTTTAATTGTAATATATCTTTACACTTACAAGGATCTAATTCTGTCAGTTTGATAAAGAAAAAAATTATTTCTCATAAAGAATGTAGATTAACAAAGCCCAGTGCAATTTTTATTTTTGTGCTCTTCTGACAAAAGAAAATGCTGATAAGGAAGTATACAATATAACATGCACATTTATATTAAAATGTGCTCGTTCAGCTTGCTTTGCAAGAACTATATTAAGAGAGAAAGTGTGTGTGACTATGTGTGTGAAGAATCTAGTGATGGAGGGCCTAGAACACAGACCTCACCACAGCTAGCTTGCTAACATTGAGCAGATCAGCTTCTCAACCAGAAGCTGGAGATGCACTGGAGATATTTAAAGTCTCTTCCAGCTCTGACAGCATGTCAGTGAATATTGTCACATTGGAGGCTTTCGTACTTACGTATTTCATATTTTTAATAACTTGGTTTATTTGTAGGGCATGGCAATATTAGCTTTGTAAGCTGCTATTTAGTTACAAAAATACATTGAACTCATAATCCATAATTTGATAATTAGCCATAATAGAGTAATTTCTCAATTAATTTCCTATAACTAGAATTTGTCAAAGAGCATCTGATAATAAAGTTTATATTTGATGAAATCTCTCAAAAGATGAGTAAACTATTGAGAAATAGATTTGTGTATTTCAATTGGACATTACAGTCTTAACAAGTGTCTCAAAGGCATATATAAAAATGTACAGAAATTGTTACAAGATATATATGCCACCAGTTTTATTGATCGAGGTGCTTTGTACCCTGCAGAAATTTAAATCATTAATCATTAATTTTTTTTATTTTTTTTAGTCAAAATTGGGGATGGGGAAGATCTTAATTTACAAGCATTAGGCCTATATTTCCCATAGGAAGTATTCAGTGGAGGATATTTTATTAATTTGAATATAGCTTAGGACAGACATATAGTATGTTAGAATTGCTAAACTTTCACAAAGTTACCATCATACTGTAGAAAAAAAAACAAAACACCTGAAAGTAGGAATTAAAAAAAAAGTATCCTTAACATTGTCACCAAATTACTGTAAAGTTATTTGTATCTTAGATGAACTAGATTTGCAAGGTTGTGTCAGTGGATAATCCAAAATAAGTTGTAAAAGTTATTAAAATGTACATTTAGGTAGATTTCAATTTGATAGAAACTACAGGAATTAATCTTTTAAAATGTAGAATAACGAAATGATATATGCTGCCTTTATGCACTAGAAGGCAAGGTGATTTTAAACAATTTAGACATAGAACAAAGGAACTGAGAGCACCCAAAGTCAGATGATAGAAAGGAAATTGTTACATCATGTACTAAATTCAAAGCAAATCTGACCTCTCAGCGTGCTTCGTCCTCCACCATCTGATTTGTATATGTCATTGGGGAAAGAAAAACTGACAATCCAAAATAAGACCCACTAGTTCTAGCAGATGACACCTGGGGATGGGATTTTTACTAGTTAAAATTCTGATGTGGAATGAGATGATTGTCATCATCACACTAAAGTTTTCTTTTTTGAGTTATTTTTTAACAACCTCTAATTCCAAAAGTCTGTTAATTAAACAGCAATGACAGAGCTTCATCTTCTTTAAATACTTTGTTTGTGTGAGGCTGTCACATAGGAAGAAAGATTATATTTTTAAACAATATGTTCAAGTGTAAAAAATCTTCAACAAATTCTTAATGTTTAAAAAAAAATGGGAGAAAGTTCCAGGACTTTTGTAATTAACATCTTGGGATTCTTTATAGGGAACTGGATATTTCAGAATGTTTGAAAGGATTTTAAATAATTTTAAAAGGATATCAATGACTATATATGCCCTGGAATATTCAGTGTACTTTTTCTCATCTTAACAGATATTGATTGGTATTGATTGGTATAGGTAGTTTAATATAACACAACACTAAAAGCAAAAGCAAATTATCATGGCATTAACAATTGTTCATTAACTCTGTGTTCCTGTCACCAACCAGAAAGTACTGAATGAAGTATTTATATCAATAATTTAAAATATTCTAATTCAAAATGATAGTGGCCAATTCAGAAGTGATTTTAAAATTAAATCTAGTGAGCTGTAAAGATAGTATACCCTCAAATTATCATTTTAAAATAATGGAAAAATGGAAGGCATTCCTTTGTTTCAAAAAATACTTTTTCATCCCTTTAAATATTAGTCCAATAAATCTCAACCCAGGGTCATTACTGCATATGTTTATAATTTCTAACTTTGAAAAGACACATCAATTAAATTGAGAAGAGAGGGCTTGTATTCGCTTTCTATTGCTTCTATAAGAAATTACCACAAACTTTGTGGCTTAAAACAACATGAAGTTCTTTACCTTACAGACCTGGAGATCAGAAGTTCAAAATCAGTTTCATTGAAATAAAAAACTAAGGTTTGAACAGGGCTGGTTTCTTTTGGGCGTTCTGTGATGAGAATCTGTTTCCTCGCTTTTTTTCACCTTCTAGTGGACACCTGTATTCCTTGGCTTGTGGCCCCTTCTTCTAGCTTCAAAGTGTATCATCACTTCATCCTCTGCTTCACCAGATCACCTCTTTTCTCCCTGACCTCCTTCCTCCTTATAAGGACCATTGTGCTCAATCTGATAATCCTGGATAAAGTCCTCATCTCAAATCCTTGACATAATCATTAAGCAAAGTCCCTTTATCCATGTAAGGTCACAGTCACAGGTTCTGGGGATGAGGACATAGCCTACCACAAAGGTTATAGTAATTTTCCTTTCACTACATATTTTCCTTGTACTGGATACAATAAGAAAATATACAAGTTGAGTTCAGCTCCATTAAATCCTTGCTTTCCCAAATTCTTTTGATATTGTCATCACACAAGGTGATTATAGTTTGGGAGGAATTCCATTTGTTCCCATTCTACTGCTTCATATTTTACTTGAGATTTTTTTCTCGGCAAAGGAAAAATGCCAGAGGATAATTTCTTGGAAGATTTTTGCCAGATGATAAACCTTGAATGAGGCTGAAAAGCATATGGGCAGGATTTTTGTTGCCTCTGGAGTTTTTGCCTGGCCTATCTGCAGAAGCCAGGAAGTTAACCTAGATTTAGTGCCTATAATACTTTCTGCTATCACACTGAAAATCTGTTTGACTGGTACTGAAATATCACTAGAGACAAAGGACAAAAATCATTGATGTTCTAGTGCTAACATCAGCAATAGACATATAAAAAGAACTTGATAAACACTTCTTAAATTATTGTATTAACTATTTTGTCCTAGATCATGTGGCATTTATCTATGGCATACCCTGTGTTTCACCCAGCTCATCCATTCCCATCTTACCACTCATCCGTGAGGAGATATATATACATATACTGAGTGGCCAGATTATTATGACCACCTGACGTTTGTAGGCAAATTAGCCGTACACTGCATCATATGGGATATGGAAGCCGAAGGCCTGTTCGAACTCCTTTGCTGTCTGCAGTTACCAAGATAAAATGTCTCCAATTCGCACAGGAACACAAGGATTGGACAGTCGAGCATTAGAAAAAAGTCATGTGGTCCATTTCCAGTTGCATCATGCAGATGGCAGAATGAGAATTTGGCCAGAAACATCATGAAAGCATGCACCCTAATGCATGAGTACAACCCTTCAAGCTGGTGGGGGCAGTGTTATGGTTTAGGGCATGTTTTTCTGTCCTTTAATTCATGGGAACGTCTGAATAGCACAACATACCTAAGTATCGTTGCTGATCAAGTTCATCCTTGATCATGTTGATGGCGTATCCCAATGGAGATGGCTTCTTCCAACAAGACAATGCGCCATGCCACGGTGCTCCTATTGTGCAGGAGTGCTTTCAAGAACATGAGGGA